ATATATATATATATACTGTAATGTTAACCAGGTGTATCCACAGTCCAGAGACAAACATGCAATATTAAGGAAGTATGGCTGCAGCTTAAGCCAGTCAGCTTCATGAAAACAATAATGTCCCTCCATAAAAAAAATCTGTTTTCCTTCTAACATAACGATATCTCCAACTTTTACTCCTCTACTCATTATATTTCTAAACTCTTTCCAAACAATCCATACAGCTTAATTCATGTTCCATTAGTGCTGGAAATTGTTTAAAAAAAACTCACAATTCAATTCAATTATAATTCTTTGGGTCACAATTCAATTAAATTTTGATTCAATTCAATTCAATTGGTCATAAAATATATATCTTTCTGTGTTAATATTTTTATTCAAGACTAGAGTCCCCAATAAAAAAATTTCAAGCTACTAATAAACATGATGGATGATGAATTAAAGTATCCCTGCAGCTAAACAGCTGTTAGCACAGCATAGCTTAAGTTTTACACTTGTCGACCAGTTTGGCTCTCTTTTTTTCCCCCAAACCACAAAAAAATCCTCTATCTACCTGACTATCATCAGGGTGCAGTCAGACCACTATTTCTTTGTGTTATGATCAGTGTCTGTGCTGATTTATTCTAGTTTTCTGTCTTGTCCTCTGTTTTCTTCCTCCTGTCTGCCTTTTCTCCAGGCCCACCCACTCACACCTGATCCTCATGTTTCTCCCTCAGGTGTTTCTTGTTTGTGCTCATTAGTCTCATCTTTATATTCTGTATCTTGTCTTCACTTTCCTTGTCGGATCACTGTGCTGTGTCGTCCAGCCTGTTGGTTGTCTATGTCCTCGAGTTTTTGCCACACCAAGTTTTGTAAGTCTTTTGAGCTGCCTCGTTAGCATTTTTCTTTATTAAAGCCTTTGTTATGGATGCTGCCTGTGCCCTGGGTTCTTTCCTGTCTGCAATTCATGACAGAATGATCCGACCAACAACTGAACCCAGCAGGCAGATTTTTTCCTCTCTCCCCACAACCTGCATGATGTCAGCTTCTCCACTGTCTAAGATCCTGGGGATCCTGGAGGAGATGGCAGGGTGAGCTGGCTGGCCTGAAGGGACACTTTTCGTAAGGGTATCCATCGGAACTGGTGGTGCCAGGGGTTTCTGAAGCCCATCCTCCATCCCTCTGATGCTGGCCCTCCTGCTCTGGTTCCTGTGGCCCCTCCTGCTCTCCTGCTGAGCCCTCTGCTCCTGAGGGTCCTGGGCCACCATGTCGCCTGGCTTGGTGGCCATCGCCTCCATGTCACCTGGGTTGTCAGCCATTGCCTCTTCTTCTCCAGTCACTGTCGTCGAGACTCTGGCTCCCTCAACCTCCACCGGTTCCTTATTGGCTCCCGCCGCCTCCCTTGACTCCACGTCTGCTCCCACCGTGCCCTGGGTTCTTTCCTGCCTGCAATTCATGACACTTTGTTGACATAGCTGAAATATCAATAAAAACTTTTTTTGCTTTGACCATAAAAACGTCTATAAAATATTAGACAAATATTTATCATGTCATGATAACAAATCAAACAAATTTACTGTTGGAATAAATGGTAAATGGACTCTACTTGTATAGCGCTTTTCTATCCATCCAGGACACAAAGCGCTTCACACTACAATCTGTGTCCTCATTTACCCATTCACACAGCACTCTGTCTCTACAAAGCTAACATGTACAATCCTCTATGGAGACTAATCAGTGCCAATCACATGCATACACTGATGGCACACACATCAGAGGCATTTGGGGTGAAGTGTCTTGCCCAAGGACACAACAACTGAGACAGCTGGACGGGAGATCGAACCGGCGACCTTCCGGTTCCAGGACTCCCCTAACCACTCTGCCACAGCAGCCCAAAATAGTCACTGTTCACGACTCTGCTAACACACATTAGACATACTTTGTGACTGAATACCGTAATTCATTAATACTTTATTGATCCCAGAAGGAAATTATTAGGTGTTGTAACTCATTTAACTAAAGAGTTAATGTAGATGCTGTGGGCAGGAAAGATCTTCTGTAGCGTTCTAAAATAGGATTTGTTCTAGTCTGAAGGAGTACAGTCTGGCCTAGGCTAATTTATAACCCCAGCTGGGCCTCAGGAACTCTGGCCTGGGCCCAACTAGACATGAGTTTAATTTGGCTTGCTACACAGGGTCCCGGCGCCTTACTCTGGTATCATTGTGTGAGAGGCGGACACTATAGTGAACAATAAGAACAACCATTCCCACTCTTTCTGTTTACAGTTATCAATTAACAAAACATGCATGTTTGGTCAGTGGGAGGCATACTTGGAGAAAATCCACAAATGCACACTTCATTCAGAAAGGCAAAAGTGGCAAACCTGAGACTTTTTTACTGAGAGTCAACAGCTTTCAGTGAGAAAAAAATGGTTCCCTAAACCAATGATTCCCAACCAGGGGTACGTGGAAAACTTTCCCAGGTGTGTAAAAAAATAAAATAAAAATAGGACTATTAAGGCCCTATTATTTCCGCAAGGTGGAAATTGCAGTCAGAATCATGGAATTAACACAAAATGGAATCCAGTATAAATTGTGGAATCTCGTGGAATTTGCTCATTTGGGTGATTTTCTGATGTATTTTGGAAAATACAATGTATTTTGATGTTGCTGTTTTCTGCACCTGCCATAATCTGGTTTATTTATCTAAACACTTATCCACTTTCAAGGCAATGTTTTTATCTTCTTGATCAATTTAAGTTTAAAAGAACTGAATGCCTGAGAAGTAAATGTTCTAGGGGGTTAAATCCATAATTTTCATTTTATAATCGGTTGTAGTACATTATAGTTTTGGAGAATCATCATTAAGTTTGACTGAAGGGGTACTAGAGGTGTGACAAAATGGCTCAGGGGTACACAAGTCTAAAAAGGTTGGGAATTACTACCATAAACAAGTTTTGTTGGTGACACCTGTTGTAAGTTACTTCTTTGAGCATTACAGTAAAACTGTGGAAATAAGACATTTTGGTCATCATAACCAACCACTTCACTTTCTGTTCTTAGCCTTTTCTCTGACAAATGTTTTAAACAGGAAAAAAAATCACCTGGGAAGGGAAGTCCCCGTAGCCGCATCCCGCGTTTGGTCCTTCGTCCTTTCCAAGGAAAGGACAAAGTGTCTCCTCTGCCTGATTCCCCGTTCTCAGAGGAGGAAGGTAAAGAGTGTGACGTCAGCTCCGACCACTCTAAGAGGACCATCAGTGCCAACAGCTTTTGCTCCAGTAAGAAGTTCTGTTTCAGGTCAAAATCAGCAGGGTTTATTGGTTGGCTTTTTTATATTGTATTGTAGGATTTTTGTCACTTTATATAACTGAATATAAAGTCTTGAAAGTATTGTGTATAAAGTAAAGTGTAAAGTATATATTTCCATCAGGTGTCAGAGCTGTGCTCTTGCTGATGGTTTAAAAGAATTATGCAATCTTAAACAGAATATTCATGTATTTTTTATGTTGAGTCAACCTGGGTCCTTTTTAACAAACAGCAAACCCATATCGACCAGGATGGACTTGTGTGAGAACAGCCGAGGCTTTAAATGTCAAGAAACAGCTGGGGCAGAATTTTGTTCTGGGCTTTTACTGGTTTGTGTGCCTGTCTACAATAGATGACACCGGCTGCCCCACTAGTCAGTCTGTGTCCCCCTCCAAAATCCTGTCAGGCTCAGAGCGCAGTATCCACGGATCACCGACCCTTGCAGAGCGCAAGACCAAAGTGAAAAGGGTGAGAGTGACAACTGAGTGTAGCGGCAAGGCACGGCGTGCACCGAGGCACAAGCTGAGGTCAGCTATGAAAACCAGAGGTAAAGAAAAAAATTTACTCAGCAATAAGCAAAAGTTGTATAATATTGCTTTTGGCTGCATATGTGTGTGTGTGTGTGTGTGTGTGTGTGTGTGTGTGTGTG